CTTAAATTAATTTACTATACTGGGTCAATATTGTAAATAAGTGGGTTTCCTTCTTAAGTTCTTACATCTCTGGAAACGTTTTTCCTTCCTTGTTCCCTTCCTTTCTTCCTTCTTTCCTTCCTTAATTCTTCCTCGCTCCCTTCCTTCCTTCCTTCCTTCCTTCCTTCCTTCCTTCCTTCCTTCTCTCCTCCCGCGAAGGTGTAGGGTCGAAGCCCACGCATCAAAAAAAACTTTCCAGATTGTTGTACTCCCCATTAAATAAGCAATAAGTTTCTTTTTGATGCTTAAAAAGTTTTTTTTTGATGCTTATAAAGTTTTTTTTGATGCTTATAAAGTTTTTTTTTAACCCCTATCCCGTGTTTGCGCAGTGCTCAGGTTGCAGTCCTGTCTGTTTAACTTCTGAATACCTCCGAGCAGCGATGCATTCGTGCCGTTGTCCTCAAAAAGGAGGCCTGTTCAGAAGCTGTTTTGTCTTTCCTTCTTTGCCAGGCCGTTCCTGCCGACGCCTGGGCTGGGGCTCGTGGTGGCGTCCTCGCCTTCGCTTTTTAGTGCACATGTTCCACATCGCGAGTGACTTCTCCTCTTTTGCTTCCTTACAGGCCTTGCAGCCTAGGAGCCGAAGCCATTGACCTCCAGCCCTGTGAAATTGGTTTCCTGAGCCCACTCCGAATACGCACTAGCTGCCACTAGCCGACTTCACCTTGCACTCTTCTTTACACACACCGGGCGTCATTGAGTGCTTGCAGGCAAGCAGTCTCCAACGTTGCCCAGAGCACATACGGCCCTGCTCGCTCCTAAGCAGAGATGAAAAGGAGACTTTTCCCCGACCAAAAACATTCGAATGACTTCGAATGCCTCCAGGCTTGGAAGCTGCCACCAAAGGGCCACAGCGCCTCAGGACAGTTTTCGTGAATGGAGCCAAACACATGATGTTGGGCCACCCCCGGCCTCCCTCCGCTCGGAGAGGCGAGGAAGGCTCCACAAGCATAGCCGAAGCCTCTCCCTGGGCACAGCCCTCCCACCGCCACACGGCACCTGAAGCTGAAAGTCTGAAAGTCTACACATTGACATGGGTTCTACAGGAATGCACAGGCCTGGCAGAGGCTCGAGAGGCTCCATCATCTCCACACAGCACACTCACAGAAAAAAACGCAGCTTCTCTTCGCGACCGCACCTCGCTGCTCGTGGCGTTGGATGGCAGATACCTCCCGACAACATCCGACAACGCGTCACAAAACAAAAAAACTTTCAAAACCATCTCTTCCACAGCTCTCTTCCAGCTCGGCGCACAGGCAAGGGTCGAAGTTGGCCAAGGGTTGCGTGCCATTGTCCTGCAGGGCACTTAGTGAGAAGCTCCAATTCCCTCAAATCGTCCTCTACCATCCAAATGCCATAGCCCTCCAAGGACCTGGCAAGGGAGAGCCTCTCTGTTTGTTTCAATAGAAATGCTGAGCTCAAAGCGCACCTTTCACAAACAGCGTCCAGCGGCGGCCCCTCGAAGCCCTCGATGCAAGCGAGGCGCACGTGCGAGCCTTCAGGATGCCAGATCACAATGCGGTGCCCCAGCTATGGAGGCCCAGCGGATCAGCGGCGCACCTGTTCGCAACTCTTGCGAGAGCGCAACCTCGGGCACAGAAACTTTCTGCCATGCAAAGCTCTGAAGGTCTTGGGCAAGCTGCCACGGTTGTGTTGGGCCGGCGAGGGTCGGGGCAAAAGTTTTGCACTCCACGGCACTGCAGAGGCCTCAGGCGGCTTCTGTTCGCAACATCCTCAAAACCTCTCCTGGAAGAATACATAAATATGTATATATATATATACATACATAAAGCTCACCCCCGCCCCGCATGATCCCCTTCTGTGGTAGATCATGGAATGTTGGGAGGTGAGAACACACTGGAATGCTCAAATCCAACACTTCCCTACGCTGCTCAAAAATCCAAAACCCGAGATGCTGGGATCTATAGCCAGGAAATCCAAAAACAAGCGAAAACATGACATGTTTGCTGGTTTTGAGCATTACAGTGTTTGGTGAGGGTGAGGGCCATATTTTCAATAAGTCAGAATCTTAGGGAGCCTGGTCCCTGCTCCTCCAAGGTGACTCCAGAATTTTGGATGTTGGTGACTCTTGAGAACTACAATGGTGCGTGAGGTCAGTGAGGTTCAGGGTTTGGAAATTTGAAGGTTGCTGAGTCCATAAAGTCTTGTATTGGTTTGCTTGAGTTCACTAGTTTCATCTAATAAACTCACGTAACTAGTCCAAATAGATGGAGTACTTGAATGGTTTAATCGAATGAATTACAGCATTCAAGCAAGGCACATTTGAACTAATTGCACTAGTCCATCAATTTAGCTCAACCATACTAACTCTATGAGTGGAATTAGTTCCACTAGTTCACTAAGCTCAATGAATTGCTTCATCGATTCCTACAATGCAAGCAAGTAATTCAGGTGATTGAACCATTTAATTCAGTCAATCGAATTAGGTCAAGTCATTCAAGTCCAGCCAGTTAAATTAACTGAAATAATTGAGTTGCTGGAAGTAGTTAATTACGTCAATTGATGTAGCTCAATTAATGAGTTGAATTAATTGAACTAACTACTTGAATTAATCGAATTGCATGATCTGATTGAAGTAATAAGCTATGTGATAGAATGCATCAATTAGTTCAGTTCATCCAATTGCAGCCACTTAAACTGGTTGAACCTATTCATTTAATCAAGTTACTTGAGTTAATTGAATCCGTTGCATTACTCGAAGTAGTCAGTTACTCTCAAGCAATGTAACCAATTTGAATTCAATTCAAGTCAATTACACTGATCGATTCACTTAGCCAAATTTCTGGAAAAAAAAGCCAACCAAATTCTTCGAACTAGTCAACATTTTACTGCCAGTCAGAGAAATTGAGTTGGATCGTTTTAAGTAATCTAATTGATTACTTCAGTTGATTAGTTCAACTCCTCTAATGAATTATTTGATGTAACACTTGAATCGGCGGCAACGGAACTGGTTGAGCTATTCCTACAGGCAAAAGTTTTAGTGATTATTGACGCAATCAATTCATGGCATTCTGTTTATTCCAGTAATTCAACTAGCTTGTTTGTCAATTGATTTCATGCTTCCGAACAATCCAGTTAGTTTGATTGAGTACATGAATTTAAAGCATGATCTGATTTACGTAACCGAATCATTTGACTGAATAGCTTGAGTTGAGTGTACTAACTCATTGAATTATCTGAACAGACTGTCAGTTTGTTCAGCTGAGCTTGAATTACACACGAAATCGGCTTGGGATTTTGTGTGTTTAATGAAGAAAAATGCATGCACCAGTAAAAACAGCAGAAAACACTGCAAACGCTTATGGTTTTGGCTAGTTCGCACTTACGAACATGTGTGAAGACAGGTGGTATGAAACACACGCGGAAGACAGAGCGTGGATCATGCGGTGGGGCGACCATATAGATTACTACATGTATACATACCTATTGATTCACATCTATACCTTCATTTATCCATGTGTGTGCTGGTTTGCTCTTTCTCAAGGCACGAAATCGGTTTTGCTCCAGGCCTGGGCTCACGTCCATCCAGGGTCGTCCAGCGACCTGCCACAACCTCAGAGTCCCAAACTGCAGAACGCTTTTTCTTTGTTTTTATCATTTTGGGAACATGGCCAAGGAAGCAGGAGAGGCGGAACCTCCAGCTCAATCGCAAATAAACTGGTGAATAATGCAGCTACTCGGAGAGCCTCTCTTGCAGAGCAGCTGGGTGTCCATTGTCAAGGGCTCCACAGGCTCAAAGCCCCATTCGCAACTGAGGGAAGCCACGCCTTGGAAAGAGGGAACGATTTCTTTCGTTGAAGAACAACCTGGAGACAAAACGAAGTAGCCACCCTGCTCTGTGGATTTTCTTTTCTTCTGCGTTATGCGCCATCCCACAGGTAAATCAAAGCATCGCCTTGAGCACGTCTGTCCAATGCTATTCACACCTGACAAGTGAGGCTCAGGTTGCTGAAGACAACTATTGCAAGCCCCCCATGCTCCGGTACCCCTTGTGCATGTACCCCCATTTTTGCATCTGCTCAGTTGCAGTCATTACCAGCTTCACCCAACCTGCCGTGAAGCTATGCTGATAAAAGCTCAGCGTGCTTCGTCTCCTTGAAAGATTTTTTGTCAGGTTGATTGACGTGTGCCTCCCCTCGTCGCACAATACGACAACAGTCCTCTGGATTGGAGGCCCGCTGCCAACACTTTGAGTAGCACAACTCATCAGGCAAAATGTTTTCTGATTCATTGTCCGCACGGGCTCCGACACACACAAACACACACTGGGAAAGCCACGAGGGCACATGGGATCTCTAGCTCAAGATCTATACCAACTTCTGCCAACTTGACTCCTGAGAATGCCAACTATGGGAAAATCTCTGCTCTGAGGTATACCACCTCTGTGTTCTCTGTCTCTTGTCATGATCACAAGCAGGCACCCTGAAAGGTGTGGTAGGCGCAATTTGGTCTTTGCCCTTGTCTCCATTTTTGCTTCAGCACAACATGTCTGTAACATGTCTGCAAAGGCGGGTTCTCGGTACCTCATCTGGCCTCAAGGCTTGTATTTGCATCCTGTCCATGAACTGTGCATGACAGCCGACTCCACAACATGTATATACATGACAACTGAGACTGCATGTGCACAATTGACATGTCAAGACTGTTGCAATCACTCATGTACCGCTGCAATCGCTCTGACATGTTGGGTTTGTCAAAACTGGCTTCTAGCTAATCTCGCCACCGCAGGGGGCTGGCATTGGTTACTTTCTAATCCTGGATGCCACAGGGGGCCATCCTGCAGGTACGTCCAGCTGATCAGGCTGGATATCCCATCCATAACCGTAGCTTCGATGCACACGGTAGGTTATGGATGCCGTGTGCCCCTGCATGAAAATTGCATGTAAATCGCATGTAAAGCTGCAAGTGCATGAGGTTGGGAGTGACCCCCTGCGTTCAT